TTCAACGAGAGCAGAGGGGTCGCGGCCGCGATGTTCGACGCCGTCGCGGTAGTGGAGCAGAAGCCCCACGGGATCACACTCACGCAGGAACGGCTCTTGCGCGAGGAGCAGGAGACCGCTGCCAAGAAGCGCGACAAGGAGCGACGACGATCGTCGCGAGAGAGCTCCACGGGGGGGGGGGGGGGCGGAAAGCCGAAGGCGAAGCCGGGGGCGAAGGTGCCCGCCAGAGATCAGGGTTGCTGGCGCCATGGCGGCGCCGAAGTGGCTGGGCTCTCCGCCCAGCGCCGCCGCGCGCGGCCCAGGCCGCGCCGCCGCGGACGCGCGCCGGGCCATGCTGCCTGCTGACGGGAGTCTCCTAGGAGGGCCGCACACCGCCCAGAGTTTTGCTTCTCCAGCCTCGCGCCGATGACTCCTTCGCCGCCCCGCCCGTGGAGGTCGCGCCGTGTTGCCTCGGCATCTGAATCGGCGGGCCGCTCGCGTCGACGATCGCCGCTGGCGGCCCTTCGAGGCCCGGGGCGCTGAACACCTTGTGCGCGGCGCGGGGCGGGGGGCGCCCCGAGACTCGAACGCCGCGCAACCATCGACCGGCAACTGCTCAGGAGTCGGTCATTCAGCAAGTCCGACGTCTGGCCCGCCGCGTCGGCGACCGACCGAAGGGCGCGGACTGCGCTTCAGCCCTGCAGGAACTCTTCGAGCGCCAAGATTTGAAATTAGGAACTGGCGAGAGTTTCACTGGCCGTGATCATGATGCTTACAAACTCAACGTTCTGGGCCTGCCCAACCTCGTCAGCTTCGCGGCGTTGCGCCGCGACGCGCGCCAGAGGGCCGCGGGCGCATCGATTCCGACGTGGAGCGACCCAGCGCCAGTTTTGCCAAGGACGAAGAGATCTTCGAACCGCACTAGGGCGCCCTTCTCAACCCGCATGCCCCGCGGACCCCCCCCTTCGTCGACGCCCCCCGCCGACTGGCCGCGCGCGGGCTTGCTGGCGGGCGTCGTCGGCGGATGGCGCGCGCCAGCGCGTTTTTCGCCGTCGAGAAGAAGGGCGAGGCCCGCGCGGTCGTGGGTGCTCGCCAGGCGAATCAGTTGCACCAAATGCCGCACCGGTCGTTGCTGGCGTCGGGCGAGGCCCCAGGGTCCATCGACCTTCTGGAAGCGATCGGCGCGACCCGGAGGACCTCGCCGAGTTCGACGACCGCTGCGACTCGCCGCGCGCGGGCTCGGTCGACTTCGAGGGCGATTTCTATCGGCTTGCCGACCCGTCATGGGACAGCTGGAGATCCTGCGACGTCGAGGTCGCCGAGGTCGAGCTGGGAGCTGCAGGTCTACAACGACCAGCTCGGGCGCCGCATCGGCGCGCCAGGCGACGAGATCACGCGGCCTTGCTTCGCGGCGCCCCTTCGGGCTGGGGCCAGGCGCAGTGGATCTGCCGCGACGCGCTGGTCGACGCCATGGCTGCGTTGGGCCTCGCCGATGATGGGCGGCGCTTGAACGAGGCCCGCGCGTCGGTCACGCGGCGATCCGAGCCCCGCGTGCCACGACCCGAACTTCGCGTTGTTCAACGCGGCCGCGCCGGGCGACTTGCTCATGAGACTCGCGGCGGAGCTGGACTGTCGGTGGCCGCGGTGGCACGAGTTTCAGGATGTTCAGCGAGGGATTGTCATCCTCGGCGCGGTGCTGGGCGGTCGCGGGGGGCTGCTCAGACGCGCGTCGATGCTGGCCTGGAGGCCCTACCCTGCGCTCCGCCAGGTCTGTTGCGAGCCGCGGCTGTCCCGCTGGCAGCTCCAGCGGATCGTGGGCCACTTGGTCTGCATATTGGAGGGTGAGTTGGGGGCCGGGCGCAGGGCCCCGGCAATGGTGTCTCCATGGGCCGCGCATGGGCGATGCATCTTCGATTGTTGTGTTCGGCGCGGGAACAAATTGCAGCTCCCCGCCAGCGCCCGCGCGCGAGACTCGAGGACGCACGAAGCAAGGGGTCGGGGGGCTGGGGAAAGGCGGCGAAGGCAACGCGCGCTGAGGGCGCAAGAGGAGAATATTGGAATACAAGCGGCGGGGCGAGTGTCAAAATCTGCACAGCCAATCTGACATGTGGACCGCTGCGCCTCAGTTTCGGGGATCTCGAGGGCCTGGGCAAAATATGAATTCACACTGGTGGGGAAAACAACATGTGAATTCTCAGTCTGGGAAAAATAGGAAGTGCGAGTCCTCATTTGGGGGTGAAAGGAACATGCAGGTTCACTTCTGGAATTTTGCTTTGGAATCTGCATGAACGGAACATGTGAATATTACATGTCTGGACAAAAAAGAAAATGAGAATTTACATGTTGGGGGAATCGCGGGACCCATGTCAAATCTGTCTTAGGTGTCGACAAGTCATCGTTTGTGAACATACGCGATCATCAATCGCACAATCCAGATATTTGCGCTCCACTACGCCGCACCACGCGCGATATGCAAGAACGCCCGCACGCATGAGCGATGCTGGATGGACGCCGCGCGTGCGGGCAACGCGTGGGCACGAGCGACGGGCCCCCCATGACCGCCAATATTGGATGCCAATCGTACCGGATCACATGCGTGAGCGATATATTGAGCACACATGGGCCATTCAGCCCCCATTGCAGACCCCCTGTTGCAGACCATTTCTTTCACCCGCCAAGTATTACTCGGCGCTGCAGCCTGACCTAAGCGCGCTGGGAGCGCGCTGCGCCAGCGGCGGCAGCGGCGACCTGGCTGCCGTGGGCCGACTGCAGCCCGACGCGTTCGGGAGGCCGGTGGTCGCGACGGGCATCGTCTTGATAGGCGAGGGCGACCTCTGCCAGATGCACTTGGACATCGCCTTCACCTCTGACAGGTCTTTGCGGGGCTGCGCTTCGCTGCGTGCGAGGCGCGCACGGGGCCCTGGGAGGCGGCGGTCGCGATGCGGTGGCGATGGCGCCGGCATTTCGTGAACGCGGATGCGGATGTCGACCCGGCTAGGAGCTGCACGCAGGCTTGGTTGCGGGCCTCGCTGACGCGTCTGGGCCTTTGCCCATCGAGTTCCGCCCCGTCTGCGGCGCGCCGCGGTTTTGCGTCGGCGCCGTCGAGCTCGAGGTCGGAGTCGCCGGAGTTAGGGCATCGCCATCACCAGATTCTTCGTCGCCGTCAGTCACCACCACCCTCATCATCACCATCACGAGCACTACAGTGTCACCATCATCATCACTATCACGATCGCCAGCACCATCACAATCATCGTCAACACCATGAACGCTATCATCGTCGTCATCGCCATCACCATCCTCGCGAGCCGAAGATCCATCAGGGTCATCGCCACTAACCCAGAGTAGACGATAGTTTCGACCCTACCCCCTGGAGTTCTCGGCGGTGAATAAACTGGCCCTCCCTCCTCTCTCCTCCTCCTTCTCTTCGTCCTTTTGCTCCTCTTGCTAGGGTCAAGCACTGGCGAGGCATAACTTAATTAGGCTGAGAGGAGGAGAGGGAAGAGGAGGAGGGAGAGGAGGAGGAGGAGGAGGAGGAGGAGGAGGAGGAGGAGGAGGAGGAGGAGGAGGAGGACGGGGACGGGGACGGGGACGGGGAGGAGGAGGAGGAGGAGGAGGAGGAGGAGAAGGACGAGGAGGACGAGGACGAGGACGAGGACGAGGACGAGGACGAGGACGAGGACGAGGACAACGACGAGGACGAGGACGAGGACGAGGACGAGGAGGAGGAGGAGGAGGAGGGTGAGGGGGAGGAGGAGCAGGGGGAGGGAGGAGGAGGAGGATAAAGAGGAGAAGGACGAGGCGGAGGAGAAGGAGGAGTAGGAAAAGAGGGAAGAGGAGGGGGAGGAGGAGGAGGAGGAGGAGGAGGAAGAGGAGGATGAAAAGGAAAAGGAAGAGGAGGTGGATGTGGAGGAGGAAGAGGAGCAGGGGGGCAGGAGGATGAGGAAAAGGAGGAGCAGGAGGCAGGAAGAGGAATGAGTTGTCCACAAACGCGCGCCATGCTGAATAATGGTGGGCGGCGATTTCTCCCATCGGACAAAGCCTCCTGGGCGACCCTCCAAGCGAAAGGAATTTCGAGCTTGTTCGTAGAAAGTTTTGCAACTCAGAACCGATGCATCGGAGGAGGGGGGGAGGAGGAAGCGGAAAAGAAGGAGAAGGTGGAGGAGGAGGATGAGGACGAGGAGGAGTAATTAAGGAAGCGGGTGAGGACGTGGAGGAAAAGAAGGAGGAGGAGAAGGATGAGGAGGACGAGATACATAAGTTCCTTGGCATGTATTTCGTGAGAGTGTTGTGAGCCCTTGAGTTTTCAAAATGGGAGTTTCAGGGCAATGTGCCTTTTAGAAAGTTATCGAGCGATGGGGTTGAGAGCGGTGAGTTTCAGAGCAATGAGTTCCAGAGCAGTGAGCTTCAGGGCAATCAGTTTCAGATCAATGGGTTTCAGGGCAATCAGTTTCAGAGCAATGAGTTTCCGAGCAGTGAGTGTTTCAGAGCAATGAGTTCCAGAGAAATGACCTTTCTGAGAGTTTCAGAACAATGAGCGTTTGCGGAAGTTTTCGGACAATGAGTTTCCGAGCAATGAGTTTCAGAGCAATGCGTTTCAGGGCAATTAGCTTCAGAGCAGTGAGTTTCAGAACAATGAGTTTCAGAGCAACGAGTTTCAGAACAATGCGTTGCAGAGCAGCGAGAGTGTCATAACAATGAGTTGCATACCCTTCAGCCCCTGAGAGTTTCATAGCACCATCCTTCTCCTCCTCCTCCTCCTCCTTTTCCCCCTCCTCCTCCCCGTAGCCATTTTGGCCCAAGATGACGACCTTGGGGGCTGTCCAGCCTCCAGGCCGAAGGGAGACCTCTGGACCGAGGACAGTTCCCAGACGGGCGTCGGGCGCGCGCGCGGCATCGCTGCAGCCATGGGGAGTGGCGGCAGCGGACGCGGGGCGGGCAGCGCCTGGTCGGGGACCCCGAATCGCCAAAGGGTTCCCCCGTGGAAAGGGGAGCAGCAGTGGCAGTCGCCCTCCTCGCAGCAGCTACGTGGTGTGCGACGGGTGCAGCAGATGGCGCCACTGCAAGAATATCACCAGCAGGGGCGACCTCTGCATCTGCGGCAAGAACCTCGCCTGCCTCGTCCCCGACGGTCATGTCTTCCGTGAAGATGATGGCGGGCGGCTGGCAGCACAGCCCCAAGGAGGAATCTCGCCCAGGACCAGCTGGGCAGATGGTTGGCAGCCAGGTGGTGGTGCAGGCGGGAAAGGACAAGGAGGCCAACGCCAGCCACCACCTCACGACAAGACAGCCGACCTCAAGGCTGCCGCCGCAGCAGCTTACAGCAAGCTCCACAAGGACGACCCGCTCAGGCAGCACTACGAGGCCCTCTGGCCAGAGCTCGCCGCAGCCAAGCCACCAGCAGACCAACCAGTCGCTGGATTCAAGGCGGTGGAGGCAGCTGCTCGACGCTTGGACAAACTCCAGAAGAAAGTGCGATCGGCAGGAGAGCAAGTTGAGAGTGGCCAGCAGTACTTGGCCGAGAGTGAACGCAAGCTTCGTGAAGCCATGGAAGCCTCCATTGCAGCCGAAGATGAGTTCGACAAGCTCAAGGCCACAGTCGGCAAGCAAGAGACACCAGCTGAGCCTGCAGCCGAGAAGCCAACTCTGGCAGCTTTCCTGGAGCAGTTCGAGCATGAGCCTGACGACTTCCACAAGTGGTCCGAGCCAGACACGGATGTCTGGCGGGCAGCAAAGGCCAAGGGCGAGCGGATGGCCCAGACGGTCAAGGAGCACGAGGAGGAGACGGCGAAGCACCTGCGACTGCTGGAGGAGGAGACGGCCAGGCACCAGGAGCAGCTGCGCCAGCTCGAGCAGGCCCGCACCAAGCGCCTGTCAAAGAGCGAAGAGCAAGACCCAGCAGCAGCAGAAGCCCCACCAGGCAAGCGAGCCTGCGCCGCCAGCCCAGCCCCTCAGCGAGGTGCCACCGCATGCACTGAGGCAGCAGGGACAGCTGGCGCGGCTGTGCCCACCGGCGCCGCAGCAGCTGCCCAACCTGGAGCAGGCGCAGCAGAACATGACAAAGCAGAAGAACGCCGAGCCAGAGTGGAGGCCCACATCCAGGAGGCGCGAGAGAAGGTCTCGCAGGCAAGGCGCGCCGAGACAGTCGTCGACGCAGAAGGGCAGGGCGACCGCTCAGCAGGGCAGCCGCCCCAAGGCGAGCGTGAAGAAGGCTCGCCGCCCGTGCCGCATTGACATCTTCAACGTCGCGACCTGGGGCCCCCAGGCACAGGGCTACCTCATGGAGATCAACGACACCAAGGACAGGGATATCATTGGCATTGCGGAGCACCACCTCCGCCAGCCTGCGCAGATAAGCAAGGCAAGAGCGGCGATCAGGAGGAATGGCACGCACAGCTACTGGACCAAGGCACGGCCAGGAGAAGGAGAAGGCACTCGAGGAGGCACGTGTGCCATCACGCGAGGACCCCTGGACATCCAGGACAGGATTGCGGGATTCGGCGAGCACTACCTGCACGAGGACGGCAGTGACGTCACGGTGGTGACCTCCAACCTGCACAAGGTCTGTTTCGCAGTGGTTTTCGTCTACCTTGAGTGTGGGACGGGCTTCGGAGAGAGGAATGTCGACATCCCCTGCGACCCGCGGGAGAAGATGGCCGTCTGGGGAGGGCCCTGGGCAGCGCCTGGGGACTTCAACATGACGCCGTCGGAGCTCAACAACAGTATTTGGCCCAGGGTGCTGAATGCTCAGGTAGCTGCGGCGGAGGATGGCGCCCCCGCATGTTTCCCAGCAGCAGGTGGGGCCAGGTGCATCGACTTCGCGCTGACTCGCAGGGCCTCGCGCCGTACTTCGACCCGCTGGAGCTGCTCAGGGCCGCGCCGTGGAAACCGCACATTGGCATCCGCGTGAAGCTGAAGGGGCGGCCCCTCATGCTCAAGGGCAGGGTACTTCGCAGGCCAGCAGCCATTAAGCCGCCAGTCGCAGTCGAGAAAATGCCGAAGTCCAGAGCCGCTTGCAGACGAGCGGCGCGAGGGGGCCAGGAGGCCATGCGCCGACGACAGCAAGCGTTGGCAGAGGCAGGATGCGACCTGGACGAGAACGACATGGAGCCAGTGCCGCAGCTGCACTACGACCAGGAGGTCCAGCACGTCATCTCTGACGAGCTGTGGCAGGCCACCTCCGAGCGAGTCAGCGCGCGCGCCTACGACGAGCTGCCCCAGCATTTGCAGCACACAGTCGGCGGCAAGATGATGGAGCGGGGCATGCTGGACCTAGGACAACAGCACGACCGCTTCGCAAGCACCCTCGAACTCAGCCTGCGCGAGAGCATCGGCATCCCAGAGGAAGAGCGCGGACGACATCTCGGGCACAGCAGGCCCCCGAGCTACAAGAGCGCGAGCATCAAGGGCACCGTCACCTCTACGCCATGGGCAGGGGTCGAAAGGAAGATCCATGCGTGGTGGGCGGAGATCTCCACCCTGGTGCGGCAGCTCTCGCACCATGATGCCCGAGCGCAGGAGGCAGCAGCAAGCCGACTGGGCAAGACCCTGACAATTCCCGACGAGTACTCAGGAGGTGAACAGGGCCCGTCGGCGCCTGAGCCTGGCCCCGTCATGTCAGACAGCCAGGAAGGCCACGAAGACGGGGTCCCCGCACCAGCCATGAGGCCATCGAAGAGCTCGGGAGGAAGCTCGGTGGATCGCGGCCCCACCGAGCGGGGTGAGGGCCCCCCCGAGCTGCAGCAGCGGCGTGCAGGCAGTGGAGGCGCAGCAGGAGGCGGCGGCAGCGGCTCCAAGGACATCGCGAATCAGCCAGCACCTGAGGATCTCTCCCCACCTCAGGCCGGGGCGGGCGCAGCGGACCATGGGAAGGCAGCTAGTCCCTGCTCAGAGATGGGTCAGGGGTTCTCGTGCCCCAAGTACAACGCCACGGGATGTGTCCCAGACCTTGACGTGGGACCAACCCACAGCAGCGCAGACAGCTGCACAGAAGGGATGCAGAGGGGTGCCCTTCCCCCACCAGCAGGACGCAACACCATGGACACCCAAGATCACGACCCCTTCGAGGACGAGGAGGACTACTTGGAGTGCCGCCAGGAGATCGCAGACCAGGAGTACAGCGATGGGTACCACCAGCACACCGAGGGGCAGCAGGACAGCCTCGAGTTCGGCCAGTCCGTTCGCCGACGTGCAGCTGGATCTGCCACTCCCCCACCAGCAGGACGCAGCACCATGGACGTCCAAGACTGCGGCCCCTTCGAGGAGGAGGAGGACTGCCCACAGCATCGCCAGGAGACCGCAGATCAGGGGGACTGCGACGGGCACCACCAGCGCATTGGGGGGCAGCAGGACAGCATCGACGGCCAGTCAGCTCGTCGGCAACCAGCTGGATCAGGTAATGCTGCCCCAGGGGACACGCACTGCTCACCTCCTCAGCCGGCTGGCACTCTGGAGGCAGAGGGCACCGATCACCTGGGGAGTCAGGACCAAGAGCCGCCAGGCCCAGAGGAAGAGGAGCCACGCGATATGGGCCTGCCCCCACCAGACCGCTGGAATGAAGACCAGCACCAGCGGGAGTGGGAAGACTACGTGGCCATGAGAGACGACTTAGAGCACTGGGCGGCCATCTGGATGGATAACTTGGTGCAGCTCCCCACGGACAACAGCAACTGGATGCAGGTCTGTGTGCCGTTTCTGGAGACCATCTTGGGTGGCGGAGGCAACGGTGGAATGGTAAGATTGCTCAGGCGCAGGTTCCAGCAGGCTGGCCCCAGCCACATCATCAGGGACCTCTGCGAGCGAGCATGGAGACAAGCAGAACCACGGCGCCGAGGCTTTCTCCAAGGTCTCACGCGAGAGGAGCCGACGAGTAGGCACGAATTGGGGGTGATGCATTGGAGGGAGCTTGCTAACCTGCGGAGGTTTATGCGAGAAGTCATAGGCGACCGATTACCAGAAGGAGCAGCTCGAAGACAACTACATGATGATCCAGGAGCAGGCAGTGGCCCGAGTAGCCGCCGAGAGCTGCAGGTTCGCACCCACAGCGGCCACCAGACGCAGCAGCAGATTAACACAAGATGGCAGCTCGCGCAGCAGCTCGACCAGCCTGGCCCAGGCAGGATGAACGAAGAAGGTGCAGCCAAGGACCAGCAGCAGGCCCTCCTCACAGACCTGCGCGCGATAGCAGAGGGCGCCCTCGTGGACCCAGGGGCGATCAGCAGGGTAGCAGAGGAGGTAAAGAACATGGCCAAGCAACTCACAAAGGCGGCGACGAAGGCGCACATCCACTGGGTGCACGACGCCACGGAAGGCAGTGCTAAGATGGCCCGCGCCTACACCAAGGCAGGGGGCGCAGCCACCTGGAGGACATCCTTGCACATGAGGGCCAGGTCATCAACCACCCGCAGCAGCTGGTAGACTTGCGCAAAGAGGCATGGCAACGCAGGTGGGCACGAGATGCGCAGAAGGCCGAGAGGATCCAAGAAGCGCTGGCCAAGCTGAGGCAGGCGGCCTTGGCCCAAGAGAATGCCCTCGAGCCCATCAGCAAGGACATCATCGGCCCCATCACCCAGCACCTGAAGCGCAATGCTGGCCAAGGAGCGGACTGGTGGAGGGCTCCAGAGCTCAAGGCCATGGGCGCCCAGGGGCTTGAAGACTTCGTGCAGTGCCTGATCAGCTGTGAGCAACGGGCAGCGTGTCCGTGGCAATTCTACTTGGTGCTGGAGCTGCTGTTGGGCAAGAAGCCAGGGATCGGTGGCGAGCGCCCCGTCGGCCTCATGCCCATGCCGTACCGCATCTGGAGCGCAGCCAGGAGGCACATAGTAGCCACCTGGAGCAAGGCAGCGGCGGGTTTCTGGGATACGGCAGTAGCAGGCTCCTCAGCGCCAGGAGTGGCAATGCACAGACTGATGAGGGCAGAAGCCGCCACGGAGATGGGCTTCCATGCAGCAGGAGTCTTCTACGACGCGGCAAACTTCTACGACGACATAGGCCTCGACCAGCTGATCGAGAAAGCCATCGACCTCCAGTGCCCGTTGCTGCCGCTGGCAATGGCCGTGCAGATGTACCTTGCGCCCAGGGCCATCATGGCCCACAGCTTCTTCTCGGACATTCTCGAGCCTGCCAACAGCATGGCAGCTGGCTGTGGCCGAGCGGTCGACCTCACCAGACCGCTCTTGTATGGCATCCTGGATGCAGCGCACAGGCACCGCATCTTCGTCGCCATGCAGCAGTACCTGGACGACTTGGCCCTGCAGGTAGAGGGTGCGCGGAGGCAGGTCATAGACCAGATCAAGTACGTGGCAGCGCTGGTGCACGATGGTTTCAAGCAGCTCTCCATACCCATCTCCGTCAAGACGGCAGTGGTGGCCTCGGACAAGGACCTCCAGGCAGAAGTCGCCAGCATCCTGGACAGCCTGGGCACCCCCAACAAGTAACCAGGTGTAGTGCGCGACCTCGGCGTGGACACCAGCCTAGGCAAGCAGCTACTGCGACCCACCCATGCAGCGCGCCAGGCCAAGGCCAAGCAGAGGGTGGCCAAGCTTAAGGACCTAGCGAAGACGGACGCCAGAGGTGCGGCAAAGGTCTACTCAGCAGTGGCCTACTGCCAGCAGGCCTGGGACTTGCCAGCGCACGGCATCACGCCCACGGAGGCGAAGGCTGTCAGGGCCACGGAGGCAGCGCTCCTCACAGGCGGACACAAGGCTGGGCGCTGCACGTCCACCATCCTCCTGATTCAGAGGGGAATGCAAGAGGCAGTAACACGAGCCATCGGCGACCAGATCAAGCAGTTCTGGCTCACCATAGTCGACCACCCGACGGAGCTCAAGAGGTACCAGAGAGGCTGGCTCCTGCTCTACGCCAAGCTGGACGCCCTGGACCCTAACCGCAGGTGGCAGCAGGTCAAGGGGCCTATGGCAGGGGTCGTCGCGCAGCTGCTTGGGTTAGGCTGGATGCCGCGACGCCTGGACAGCTGGACCAGCCCAGCAGGTGACGAGTGGGCATACAAGCCAGATGACATTCCACACTTCGGCGCGCTCCTGCAGGAGGTCCAGCAGAGCGCGCAGCAGCAGCTCCGGCAGCAGGCAGCATGCCATCGCAGTGGAGAAGGACTTCAGGCTGGAGGCGGCCTCTTTCAGCTGCAGCGCCACCCGAGGAGGAGGGGGCGCAAAGGACAGCATGCAGAGGCAGCCATGCTGGAGACTATAGCGATGGGCACCGGGACCAGGGAGCGTCGCAGGGCGGCCAAACTCAACAAAGAAGGCGACGACACCTGCGCGAGATGCGGCGAGGCGATAGAGACAGAGGAACACCGCTACTACGCATGCCCAGCCAACGCAGAGATAGGGCACAGCAATGACACCGACCTGGCGAAGAAGGCGAAAGACGCGCTGGACCAGCGGCAAGACCTGCACTTCTGGCTCCGCGGCACCCCGCCAGCGGCCTGGGCAGCCAAGGTCGACCCAGACGAGGACGCGGCGAAGGCGGCGCAGATCTTCTGCACCAGCGAAGAGGCGCAGGCGGCAGCTCAGTCAGGGTACAAGGCGCGAGCAGACTACGTCTTCACGGACGGCTCGGGCGGTGCAGGGGAAACGGCCAAGGATCCCCGCCTCAGACGTTGCGGCTGGGCAGTGGTGGCCTTCAGGTTCGACGAGCAAGGACGTCCGCAGGAAGTGGCCGCCTGGTACGGCACGATCAGGGCACCACACACGGTGCCACGGGCAGAGCTCACCGCCATGAGCAAAGCCATCGGGTACACCACGGCGGCGACGACCAGGGGGCTCAACATAGTCAGCGACTGCAAGTACGCCCTGGACGCACTCAAGCAGATCCAGGATCCTGAGGACCCGGACTACAGGAGCACGAACTACGACCTCTGGCTCCAGACGAAGCAGCAGCTGCAGGACAGCACGGACACCATCATGGGCCACCATATCCCAAGCCACTTGATTGAGCACCCAGCCGAGCTGGAGAGGTGGAATGGTCCCACCTGGTGGGTCATCGGAAACGAGATGGCAGACAAGTACGCAGGCTGGGGAGCGGAGCATGGAGCACTGGATCCAGCCATCATCGCGCAGCAGCAGACCAGGGACCAGATCACCATGGCGGTGCAAAATCGGCTGCTGGCCATCACCATGGCGGTGACGGTGGAGGACCCCAACAAGGCCCCTCTGCGACCCAAGGCCAAGCGCCGAAAGCCGCAGGCGGCAAGGGACAGGGCAGCCCAACTGGGACACGACTTGCGCAAGCTACATCCGCGATGGTGGTGTGCAACGTGTCGCAGTGGCCCAGCCAAAGGACAAAGCATCAAAGACTGGCTGGCAGAGACGGGAGAATGCCGCGGGAAGTACGGCGGCCACCAGGACCAGCACGGCAACGTCAGGCTTGACTGCAAGGCGGTGCAGATCGGCACGCAGGTGGTGGACGCCTCCCACAAGACGCAGTACACCCATGGCTGGCTCTGGTGCGAGAAATGTGGCGGCACCAGCTACCTTGGGGACCACAAGAGCAGGATCGTGGCAGGAGTGGCAAGGAAGCTGGCCAGGCCATGTCAGCCCCCAACAGCAGCAGGGAGGCGGGTCTTGGCGGACACGCAGAGGGGCAAGCTGCCAAGAGGAGCTAAGCCAGCAGCAGACCCAGCTGAGGAGGGTCTCAACGAGATCACCATGCCTGGTGATTTCAAGCTTGGTCTGAGCAACCACGAGGCGATCGACCTGGACGGGGACAGCTCAGAGGCAGGGGACCCGTAGCCAGCTCCACAGCAGCCACCCAGCCACCCGCACTCTGTCGTCCAAGCCAGCTGGAGGCTCGTGGACCACATGGAGGGCTACGCGGGGCTGTGGGTGAACATGGTCGACCAGGAGGTCTGGGACGACATGGGCGACTGGATGGAGCTCTGCGTACCGTACCTCCTGGCCATCACCAACGTGGGCGGCATAATGGACTCGCAGGAGCAGACCAGGGCTGTCACCGTGCAGGAGCTTCAGCAGATCAAGGACTTATGCGAAGAAGTCTGGCGCAACACGCACCGCAAGCGAAGGAGGCTCATGACCAGGATGCTTACCCTCCCGTACGGTACAAGGCAGCAGGTAGCAAGAGTGCACATGGACGCGTTCCAGAACAGAAGGAACAACATCCTAGCGCACAGCATCCCCAGCAGCGAGCGCAGGCCGCTGCCGAGAACAGCGGAGGCCAGCAGAGAGTGGTCACCAGAAAACCTGGGCGATGATGACTCGACACCAGACAGTGAAGCCCCAGAGCAGGAGGGTGAGCCGAGCGACCAGGAGATGGAGACCATGGCAGGACCAGATCAGAGGAGCGACACCAACAGCCTGATGCAGACGGTCGTGCAGGTGGCAGTAAAGCTGACCAAACCAGTGGGGCCCGACCTGATGAAGTTCGTGAGCGAAGCCGATGAAGCTGGCCTGCTCCACCCAAGGCTTCGACACAAAAGAGAAGCCGACCAGGACCCCGAGCAGGAGGTGGCGTGGCTCGAGAGGAACAGGCTCGAGCAGCACATGCAGTCGCTGGCAGGCTGCTGGATCCAGAAAGAGGGCGAACAGGGCTGGCCATCGTGGCAGGCTGCGTGCGTGCCCCATTTGCTGAGGGAGCTGCAGACTGGCGTCTACCAGAGGCTGTTCAGCCACGTGTCAGGGCTGAGCGGCCAGCGCAGCCAGCGCCGAGCGGCGGAGGAGATCTGCCGTATGGCATGGCTCAACAGCGGAGAGGCGCGCAGGCAGAGCCAGCAGCAGGACCCGAAGGAGGCAGAGCGGCGCAAAGCAATTGCTGAGCAGTTCCTGGGCGTGACTGAGCCAGTGATGAGGAGCCGCAGCCCGCGACCGCAAGCAGCAGTGCGAGTGCCAAGCAGGGCCCCAGCCAGACAGCCGAGGAGGCACCCAGAGGCCAGGGCCACCAGCAGCCCCGCCGAGCTGCGCACGGCAATGCCAGCGCCCGAGCTCGAGAGGCCCAAGGGACCCAGGGCACCGCAGCCAGAGCGGCCCCTGGAGGAGGGAAGGGCTGAGGAGCAGCAGAAACCCGTCAGCACGCCCCAGTGTGGAGGAGGGGCAGGCCACCACGAACCCCTGCGCGGCGAGGGGGTAGGCCGCAGAGGACCCCAGCGTGGCGAGGGGTTAGGCCACAGCCCTGCGCCAGACGGGATGCAGAGGGGCGCCGGTCCCCCACCAGCAGGATGGAGCAGCATGGACATGGCAGCCCTCGACCACTTCCATGAAGAGGAGAGCAGCGAGGATTGCCTCCAGCAGCCCGTAGACAAGCAGGACAGCGATGACAACCACCAGCAGAACCCAGATATACAGCACAGCATAGGGCACCACCTGGCAGACCGCGGAGGACCCCAGCGTGGCGAGGGGTTTGGCGACGGAGGACCCCAGCGCGGTGAGGGGCTAGGCCGCAGTGCCAAAGGCAAACAGAGGCACGAGGCGGAGGTCCCTGACGAGCCCAGTTAGCATGACGCGGACCTTTTGACCAACAGTGTGGTAGACAGGACCTCGCAACTAACAGAGCGGACCCATACCCTGGGAAACCGACAGAATGAACGCGAGGGGGAGGGCTTGGCCCGCGGATACCACGTGAACCGCGAACACAGCGAGTGGCACAGTCGGGGGACCTCGCCCGAGCCAGTGGGCAGCAGCACCGAGGATGGTGACGGTGCGAGACACGACGTTCCCCTGCGCGGCGAGGTGTTTTGCCACAAAACTACGCAGCCCGAGACGACGGCAGACAACGACGACACAGACCTGCAGCGGGACCAGGACAAGGATTTCGGCGACTTTCCCCAGCGCGGTGAGGAAGGACCGCATGGAACCCCTGCGCGGCGAGGGGCTAGGCCACGGCAATCCCCTGCGCGGTGAGGGGATAGACCGCAATGCCAAAGGCAAGCAGAGTCTCGAGGTGGAGGCCCCTGACGAGCCCAGCGAGCATGACGCGGACCTTTTGACCAACAGTGTGGTAGACAGTACCTCGCAACTAACAGAGCGGACCCACACCCTGGGAAACCGACAGACTGAACGCGAGGGGGAGGGCTTGGCCCGCGGATACCACGTGAACCGCGAACACAGCGAGTGGCATAGTCGAGGGACCTTGCCCGTGCCAGTGGGCAGCAGCACTGTGGATGGGGACAGTGCGAGACTCGGCGATCCCCCGCGCGGTGAGGGGTTAGACCGCAGCAGGCCCCAGCGTGGCGAGGGGTTAGGCCACGGGGCACCCCAGCGCGGCGAGGGGTTAGACCGCAACGATCCCCAGCGTGGCGAGGGGTCAGGCCACGGAGCACCCCAGCGCGGTGAGGGGTTAGACCGCAGCAGGCCCCTGCGTGGCGAGGGGTTAGGCCACGTGGGACCCCAGCGCGGTGCGGGGTTAGACCGCAATAGGCTCCTGCGTGGCGAGGGGTTAGGCCACGGAGCACCCCAGCGCGGTGAGGGGTTAGACCGCAGCAGCCCCCAGCGTGGCGAGGGGTTAGGCCACGTTTTTCCCCGGCGCGGCGAGGGGTTAGACCGCAATGCACCCCAGCGTGGCGAGGGGTCAGGCCACGACGGGCCCCAGCGCGGCGAGGGGTTAGACCGCAACATACCCCTGCGCGGCGAGGGGTTAGGCCACCAAGGAGCACCCCAGCGCGGTGAGGGGCCAGACCGCAGCAGGCCCCAGCGCGGCGAGGGGCTAGGCCGCAGAGGACCTCTGCGCGGCGAGGGGTTAGGCCGCAATGCACCCCGGCGTGGCGAGGGGTTAGGCCACAGCCCTGCGCCAGGCAAGGCGGCCGTGAAGGCCCAAGAGTCCAGGGACCAGCGGCCAGGGCGGCCCCTGGAAGAGCGCAGAGCGGAGGAGCGGCTGCGGCCGTCCATCAAGCTGCTCCTCAAGCTCTGAGAGGGCGGCGGCAGCATTTCTTCAGACTGCCGCCGCCCACGGGGCGACTCCAGGAGTCATAGAGTGGCGGCAGTACGACGTCGTGAGATGAGGCCGCTGGCCCACCCCGCCTCGGGCCGCTCTGCCTGCGCGGGGTGACGAGACCAGGGGCGCCCACTCACGGGCGGGAGCACGCGGGTTTAAATTCCCCCTCCCCCTCCTCTTCCTCTTCGTCGTCGACGGCGTTGTCGTCGCCAGCGGCGGCGGGAAACAATAATTAGTTTCCGTTGTTGTCGGGGCCCAAGTCCGTCAATGAGGCCGCCCGAAAAATGTGCGAGTTTCCCACGGCTGCGGTTTGCTGTTGTTGTTTGACAAAAACTGTTTGCTGTTATCAGCATGACCATCCTGATCAGAACCACAACCACCATCACCACCATCACCATACTCATCATTGCCATCCTCATCACAACCACTTCCAGCACCATCATGGCCACCATCATCAGATGCATCGTCGTCAGCATCATCGGCACCATCGCCATTGTTACCACCAAGCACCATAATATATCGTGTAAATCCGCAACGGCAGCACCATCGTCCTCCCCATCATCATCCGCATCCGCGCCTTCAACATCGCCATCATCACCATTACTACAATAAGCATCGTCATCACTATCACCACCATCGCCATCTCTATCATCGTTATTATCGACATCATCATTATCGTCACCATCATCCTTACTTGCATCATCACCAGCAGGACCATCATCACCAGCATCATCATCGTCAACATCATCATTATCATCATCATCATCATCGCCATCACCATCATCACCCGCACCATCAACATCATCACCGTCGCATCTGTGCAGTATTCACTCGTTCCGTTGCCCCATAGCGTGGTTCCATTTGGCCGTAGTGGCAAATTTCGTTGTGGGCGTCACGCGCGCTTCGGCACACCATTTCACACGCGCCGTGGCCCCAGAAAACGCTCCACCGTTCCACCCACAGCCCCAGTGGCGACGTTCGTTTTGGGCGTCACGCCCGTTTCGGCACACCCCTCGCACGCTTCGTGGCCCCATAGTGAGCTCCGCGCCCCAGTTGCAGCGCCCGCATGGCGGCACCGCCCCCTTGATGGCCCACCCCTCACGCGCTTCATGGCCTTACTTGGATCTTCACCAACGGCGACAGCGCCAGTGCCCGCATGACAGCACCGCTCTACTTGGCACACCCTTCGCGCGCCAATGGCCTTATAGGGAACTCCCCTTCCCTCGTCCCACTGGCCTTGCGGCACTCACGCCTGCATCTGCCTGGGCCTTTCGCCCAGATATTTTCGTGGGGTGGAACGCTCGCTGGCAGCTTTTGACGCACGACGGCGCAGCGTCGCCGTGTTTTTTTGGCAAAAGGAGTGCCCCTGGCGATCCTTGCCAGATGCTTTAGCAAGGCCGGAGCAGCGTCAAAGGGAAACTTGGCAGGTCGAACGTTGCGTACGCGCTCTCCCTGTGCCAGGGTCTGCCCGAGTGCTCCTTCCTCTCGAGGGCCTCGCCTCAAACCACCACTCACTCAAGTCGGGCAGCCAGTGCCTCCACATCTATCTTCATGTGCCGTGGCGTGAGACATCGGTTTGTGCCTCTCTCTCTCTCTCTTTCTCTCTCCCTGTCTCTCCCTGTCTCTTTCTGTCGCCCTCGCCCCCAGCTGTGTTTTACTTATGTGTTTTGTATACCCATCGCGTTCTAGTTCGTACATATATACATATATGCGTGTGAGTGAGTGTGTGTGTGTGTGCGTGTCATATGTATATCATCTTACTTATTCCCTTTTTGATATATACCTCTTCCCTATATGGTTCTTGGCTGTCGTTTTTTGGTGTTATCCTTCTCTCTCTATATATGTATGTGTCGTGATCTCGATATATTCTCTCTCTCTCTCTCTCTTTCTCCCTCTCCCATCTCTCTCTCTCTCTCGCGCGCGGTCTCTCTCTCTCTCTCTCTCCCACTCTCTCTCTATCGATCGCTCTCGCTGTTATTATTGTGTTCGTTTTGTTTGTTTCTCTCTCTCTCTCTTTCTCTTCCTGAAGTGTTACACGCGCCGAAATTCACTCGGATATTGAAGCGATCGTTCAATTATTTTGGCGCGCCTTGAGCATGTCATTGCCTGTCGGTGGGGCTTCCTCGGAGGTCAGGGAGGCCACTCAGGGGCCGAGCGTTTGTGGGAACTCCCAACCCAAGATGCACGCGATTGTATGTTCCATGGCACGGGGCTAACGCGTTTACTTCTGATGTTCGAAATTTGTGTTTCGTTGTTTCGCTTGGTTGTGGCCCCTTGACTCGTCAGCAGTAGAACATGCAAGGTCGAACAGGGGGCACGACCATCACAGCAAGGACGGTGGTGGATTATGATCACGGTGTTGACGACAATTGTGCGCCACGATCTCATCGGTTGGCCGGCCACTCGTTGTCCCGTCTTGCGTTGTTTTTTCCATTTGTGCTCGCCTTTGTTTTCTCCTGGAGATGCCTTGGGCAGCCCGAAGCCCAGCGTGAGCGTGCTCCCTGGCCAGCTCTCCCCGAGAACCGGAGAGCCCTTCGGACGTGCAGTGCAGAGCTCGGGGCCTGGGCGTACTCCCGATGTTGCACGGTCATGGAATTCGGCTATCTTTCGTTGCCTCCTCTTCGTCCTCGTCCTCCTCCTCCTCCTCCTCCTCGGCTGGCTCGTGTCGTGACGACTGCGGCGTAAATCGTCCACTGTGCCTCTCGCCCATCGTCCCCCTCCTCCGCGCACAGCGATGGGCTGCAAACCTGGCAAGTCCGCGACGCAGGAGGAGGGCGGCGATAGGAAGGCGTTGGTTCCCGAGCCCGGCGGCGGCACGGAGGCTCCTCCCCCTCTTCGGCACCAGGGGGCCGCATGGACAGCGGTCGGAGGATGGAGTGATATGCGGAGTTCCAGGCCTTCCAAATGGGTTCCGAGAAGATGGGGTCGGAGGGTCGGGCCACATCGTCGATGCATCAGCGACGCGGCTCGTGTGGAGTCCAATTTTCTCCATGCCGATGGCGCCGATGCTTTGTCGTCATCCCGATGCTTCGCGGCCCTCCGACCCGAGCTACTCGGACGTCATCTCATTGTTGGGGTCTCTCTCACCTGCACGGAGTCGTTGGTTGCTTGTCGACCACCTCTCGAGTCATTGTTTTGTTCGGGTTATCCCAACCGCTTGGTTGCACGAAGAAATGTAGTGGTATGTGGTTGCCCGAAGAATGTGGGAGGCTTGCAGGAATGAAGGAAGGTGGGGATCGGGGTGCTGGTCCACTGGAGTAGCGGCGACACAGCGGATGTTCTGTAGACGTTGCGGCTTCAAGAGGCTTCTTCTGGGCGGCGGCCCATTTCTCTGGCCAGCTAGACCTCTCCACATGCACGCGGCACAACCCGCCACGCGCAGCAGCGAGATGTTGAGTGTTATGGTGGATGGGGTGGGTGGGTGGGCGGCAGAGTCCGCTGGTTAGCAGGGCAAGCTTGGGAATGGGGGAGGCCAGAGACTGCGATTTGGGATGGCCATGCTCTTCTCGAGTTCCTTCGCGATAATGTGCGAGCTTGATATTATCTTCATTGCTTGTGTTACTGAATTTTGGCCTGCAGCCGAAGGCTTCGTGCACTCACCCCTAGTCATCCCAAGTGCTCTTACTTCTGGCCCCATTGCGGTGAAGCTTTGCGCTGAAAGTACGCAACCTCAGCTAAGAGCCCTCGTGCTTTCTGCTCCGTCGTGCGTGTGTTGTATCGTGCGCAACGGGCTGAATCGACAGGAAGCCATCTGCATGATCGGACAGCTTCATGATTCTTCTCTCGTCCTCCTCCTCCTTCTCTTCCTTTTCCTCCTCTTGTCCTGTCAGCTGAGATGCAAGCCACCTGTGACAAAAGCATGCCAGGAGGGCGCGGTGATGTTGTGTCGATGTGTTGGAGGGCTAGCGTCGGGGCGTTGCCAGTCGCTACTTCTGTGTGCAGCGCAGATGCCGAGGGTTTTACATATTCAGTGTGGACGCCCCTGGGCCTCCCGCTTCGGCTGTTTCTTGGGCGTGCGGTGGCGTAAGTGGCCTTGGTCTCGATGGCGCCACCAGCCTCTACACAGGTTTCAGCGATCCTCGTCGGACGGCCTTGCCCGAACTTCTCCACGATGGTACCTCAGATCAGGGATTTGTTCATGGTTCTGCTTATCGCGATGTCCGCCTCGGCTTCAGCTCGGTCCGAATACGGAAACTTGGCCGTGAACTTCTTGACACTTCGCGTATCCCCACAAGCTCCGCCTGACCTTTGTCTCGCGGCCGCGACCGAAAAAAGTATCCCCACAAGCTGAGGTGCTGCCTGAGGCTCCGCCTAGCCGCTTTAGGTGAGGCTGCGCCCCGTTGCTTTAGGTGAATTGTCGCTGCGTGCCCCGCTTTGACTGGACTCGCCGCTGGCGCGCTCGCCCGCGGCCGCTGACTAAAAAGTATCCCCACAAGCCCATTTAGGCACGATGTCCAGGCGAATTGCCCTCACCAGCGAGATGTGTGAGCATGTAGTGGATCAAAGAGGAGGCGGGGACTCAGTCATTTTTCGTGAAAGGAGGAGGGGAACTGAGGATGATGAGGAGCACTATACCGTATGGAAAGGATTACCCTAGCCAGGGTTAGCTGGAGGGGGTCGGCGCCAAAAGATCTGGCCGGGAGGGGTGGCCTGCAACATCGTTCCAGGGGAAGTTTGCACCGCCGCGAAATGTATACACAGTTTTTCCATTTGAAGTCCCATTGTTCGTCCTCCTCCAGCGGTTTCCTATTTTATCGTCGTCCTCCTTTTGTGTTTCCTCCTCGTCCACCTGACGCTTCTTCTCCCTCATCATTCTTCTCGCTTTCTTGCCTCCCTCATGTGCTGTACGTCTGTGGGGGTTCGGGGTTGTGCGCGGCAGTTCTGGGCTTTCGCGGTGCGCGGTTGCTATCGACGACGCCCTAGTTGTTTGGTCAGAGCTTGGCGCACAGGTTCCGGGTCAGTTACATGATCTGTCAGGGTCCAGTGTTTGCCATCACGTCTTATCTGAGCCACCCTAGCCTCAAGCTGGCCGCCAGCAACAGGCCCGCAGCGGCCGAGAAATATCAACCTTCCTCTACTTCCCTCCCTCTCCCCCTCTCCCTCTTTGCCCCCTTCTTCCCTCCGCCCTCGTCATCTTCGAAAGGCGTCCTGGGTGCCAAGCCTGGGAAATCCAGAGGGGGTTGGCAGGGGGGGGTGGTTAGCTGGTTGGCCGGGTCCAACTGCCACCCTTGCCCCTTCCACCAATAGTCTTCTTCCTGTTCGTCTCCCCCCTGTCCTTGCCCGCTCCTGCGGAGGCGAACGGATGCGGCGAGGGAGGATGAGACGGACGATTGAAGTGATATGGCTTTGGGGCGCCTTGACCCCACTGGTGAGGCCAGAGGCCTGGTGCACCTCCATGGTGTGCCACCCGAGGTCAGGGCAATCGTTGAGCAGCACGGTGAAGTTGCTTGACAGCTTGCCTGAAACCCCGCCTGCTTGCGCGATAGGGCACCGCAGCCAGGGCAGAGACATTCCGAACACCTCTGTCGGTCCAGGCCTGACCGTGGGAAAGATTGACGGGACACCCCTCGGCTTTCTTGCCGCCGCCGCAGCTGGGCTCCGCTTGGAGCCTTCCCACATGTTTCAGTGGCTTGGGGGCCTGGTCAGAAAGAGAGAGGCCTTTGCGGTTCGCTTGGGACGTAACGTTAGGCTAGGCGCCGACTTTGGTTCCCACCCCTTGTATTCTGACGTGATCGCTGGGCGCAACGTGTTGTGCCGCGTGCGCTGGCACGCCCGCTTGTACAGTGTTCACTTGCCTTCCCGCCTCGCGCATCGTGCGGATAACCCAGGAGGAAGGAACAGGGAGGAGGAGGAGGAGGAGGAGGAGGAGGAGGAGGAGGCGGGGGAGGGGGAGGGGAGGAGGAGGAGGGAGGAGGAGGCATTAGCTATTATGTACTTGGGGATGTCAATGCATATGGCTGACCGTGTCATTACAGTGCAAGGTGCAGCTTCCGATTTTATCCAGATATCGACCTCGATATTGGCAGGCTGTGTTCATAGTGTAGCGTGGAGTCGAGCGTATCTGCACGATATGCTTCGCGAAACACATGCCCGTTATCTTCCACGAGGGCTGATGCAGGAACCGCACCGAGGTCTTCGTCCACTGGAGGTTCAGACCTGGGTGGATGACACAGCTTTGCAGGTATTGGGGAACGCGCGGGATGTAGTCAGACAGTGCTCCGAAGCTCTGATCCACCTATTCCGTCGCATGCAAGGACAAGAACTGAGGATGTCAGGTAAGACAGTTTTGTTAGCTAGCCAACCCAAGCTCGTTCAGCAGATTGCTGCCAATGTCCAGGCAGGTTGTGGCATCAACCTGAAATGTGTCACTGCCTCTCGCGACTTAGGAATCGATTTTTCGAGTAAGAGGCGTAGCACCGTCACGGTCCAGGGTCGGCTTAAGAAAGCCTCTGCTCGTGCTCGTCGCATAAAAAGGGTTTAATCAAAGCCAACCGCACGGCGAAACGCTTGGCCCGCACTGGTTTTAAACCCCAGGCCTCGTGGGGCCTGGCAGGGCAGGGAGCCGCCCCCACCACCCTTGTGAAGATCAGAAGCCAGATAGCCTCCATGAGCGGCGTGCAACGTCATGGAGGATGCGCCACGGTAGCGTTCCGTTTAGGGTTTACCCAGCTAGATGATCCATTAATGTTTGGCCGCCTCGACTTGGTCAAGTCTTGGTTGGAAGTGGCGCCGCAAGTCGGCTGGGCCACGCCGTGTCTTTCCAATGCGTGGGCATGCTGCCGGCGTGCCATAGCGAATGCTAAGTTTCAATGGTGTAAAGTGAAGGGCCCCATGGAGGCCTTGATGGCGATGCTACTCCAACTTGGCTGGGATCCTGTGAACCCGTACAAGTGGCTCGACGATGCAGGACAGGTGTATTTTCTTGCCCCGGAGCTTTCCACCGACCAGCGCACCCCCTTTTACCTTGAGCCCGCAAAGGGCAGCCCCCAGGGATGGAGGCAGTGCGTTTTGGCGGAGGTGGAGGGGGCGCTGGAGCAGAAGGTGTGGGAGCAGCATGCGTCTCAGCACTTCTGTGGGGCAGGTTTAGAATTCGGGTGTGACCTCACTCCTCTCCGCCGCCACCTCGCGAGGTTGAGGTCTAAGGGGGAGGCCAGTTTGGCAGCCGTCCTCGAGATGGTGGCCACAGGCGCCCTATGGCCCGCCACGAGGCGCGCTCCCTAGGCCCCCGTCGGGTCTGAGGAGAGGCGTTGCCGGCGGTGTGGGCAGGAGGAGGAGGAGGATCTTTTTTCACCAGATGTGGAGCTGCCCCTGCACCCCCCCTCTCTCTCCTGAGGACCTCCCCCTTGCCCTGGAATCCCGTGAGAAACATGCCGAGTTCCCATGTTTTTGGTTCCGCGGTTTGACTCTTGTTTTATGGGTCCACGGCTTGGTCGATTCGTGGCCGGAGGGCCAGGCCAATTTTGAAGGAGCATTCGACGCAGGAGGGCGCGTGCCCTTAGGCGCTGATGATCGGGTCGGGTCGGACGGTACTGGGGGGGATTGTACTGACGATAAGCGCCTCCGTCGTTGCGGATGGGGTTGCGCCATTGTTCAGGGAGGCCACGTGGTAGGCAGAGCGTACGGCACCCTCCCAGGACGGATCCAGACGGCTCCCCTAGCGGAGCTGGTCGGTATCACCGTAGCTTTGCAACGCACTATTGGTGAATGTCATTTTGTGCTCGACTGCCAGAGT